AACGACATTACAAAAATTATTCAAAAAATAAATACTTACATTGACTCTAATTTTTTGTCTAACTGATGACAAATAATGTCAAACGTCAAAATACACACATTTGTACGGAGCTGTCAAAATAAGCTACAAAAAACACGTTTTTAGTGCTGCTCTGCTGTTTCTGCAATAATTTGCGGAAAAACCGTCTCCACTTTTTCTGTGAGCACGCATACAAAGATGAGAGGCAGAGCGAAGAGGAATGAGATATGATATAATGGCACTCATGAAAATCGTATGCAGAGTTCATACTAAGTTCTTCTATTTGCCATCAAAATTGAACGGGCGACGTGAGTGTATACGACTTGAGAGTGAGAGGGAGAGAACGAGTTGGCAGTGGCATAAGGCCAATTCAAAATAAGACATATTTCTTAGTGCTTAAGTCTTTGAGATCGAGGGCAAGACAGGAAATTTATGTATTAAACACTTTGCGTTGTTTATGGTTTATGTGCGGAATTACTGCAAAACGATGTTAAGGATAAAGGTCTATGATGTGCATGTTTTACATACTATCTGCCAAATGCTACGATTCAAAATCATACCAACATATGCGATATACCGTGTCTAAATGTTAGGCATAAGCAACGAAGGTGCAAGGTGAATTTCCGTTGGTAGCGCCACCTTTCCCCTCCAGAAATGGGCAATATATGATTTAACTGATATCTCTTCATCCAAAAGTTTGTGAACCTTCACGAAACGCGCTTTTGACTGATGGCCCATCACTGATAATATGTATAAATAAAATGGAAGACGACAATATTCAACATCGAAGTAAGTTGTTGAAAATCGCAACGATTTAACTTTTTTTTTCTACCTTGGCAAAGAGATTGCTGTTGGCAACAAATGGCCAGCTTAAGATATATATGCGCCAGTAAAATCGAAGTAAACATTTCAAGCACTCTTTTTAAATGCGCACATATTCATCAACATTTGCTCTATTTGTTTAGTAATAATTCTCGTTTTGCTTGTGTCTCGGTGGTTTTCTGTGGC